GTAGAGGTGACCTCTCTGAATACGTTTCCAATTCTTGCTCTTTCTGGAAGCTTAGGTTGAAGCTCGGCCAACTCTGCCTGAGCAAGATAAGCGCTGCTCTGCGTGTCCTCCTCTGTGAGCAAATCTTCTAGAGACTGAGGTCCCTCTCTGTCCAGCACAGACCTAAAAGATGTTGTGGCTTTACTGTCCCTTGCTCAGTGGTGGTTGTTGTTGTTCTGTGAGCACAGATTTTTGCAGGATGAGATACGTTAGACAATATCCATGTCTATAAGTAGTAATTATGAGCCATTAGATGTCACAGCGCTAAGCTCATTTTTCCTTATTTGTCCTCAAAACAGAGGACCATTTTGCATGCTGCTTTGAGTTATCTTAGCTAAAATGTTCCATTTTTTTCCTTCTCACCAAAGAAACTCTCTACTTTGCCTGAAAACCTGTCAGTCCTTGGGCAGTTACGCTGAGGTTGCCCAGCTCACAGAGCAATCTCCATTGCCTTGTGTCACTGCACAGGGAGCCAAACCTGGGCATGGGGGTAGCACGTGGTGTGGCAAGAGAGAGACAGAGGAGCTCAGGGAATGGGGGAAATGGGAGAAATGGGAAGTAAGTCAGGCTTGGAGGACTCAAGAGGACTTTTGACCACTCAGCTAGTGGGCAAAAAGGGATGGAAAGGCAATGGGTGGCAGAGCCTACAAAGAGAAGTAGATAAGAAGGGGTTGCAGGCAAAAAGCAGGGAATGTAGAAATACAGGGAGAATCAAAGAATGAGACAGAGAAGCAACTCAGGGGGAAGTGCTCGGGGAGGTGCAAGGGCTGCAGCAGAAAGCAGTTTAACAGGAGGATCTAGGGGCTCCTGTACAACACAGGTGCAGATTAGAGAGCTGGATTTCCTCATCAGGGTAGCAGTGACCACGTTTGGCTGATACCCAAAGACATGGTGGCCTTCACAGCTCAGGGTTTTCAAACCCTTTTTCATTGACTTCCATGCTAAAGCTTTTTCAGGATGCTCAGGGAACGCTACCAACACGATGGTTTTGCACACTGCAATTCCTGACACTCTGGAGGCAAAAGCACTTACAAAGAAAGACGCACAAATAAGCAAATAAAAAGAAGTCACAAATATTTTCAGAGCTATTTCTCAGTTTTCAAGGCAAACGTTCACAAATACATCCCCCTCATGCCTCCCACATGTCAAGCACTTGTTCCAGTCTAGTAAAGACCAGAACCGGATGTGAGAGGAACTGCAAAGAATTTGAGTAGATCATAATGATGTTTTTTATTTTTAATCTTTATCTTACGTAGTTCAATTTTTTTCCCTAATTCCTCACATATTTTTATAGTACTCTTCTGTGCCTTTAAAAGGATTTTGTTTAATCTGTGGCTGTTACTGCTTTAATTATAATAGCAATATTCTCCCTATGAAGCTATGGAAATCAGCTACTCTCACATTCTAATCTAATAAGATTTCCACATTCTATTTCTTTGCAATACTCTTAAGGAGCTTGTAAGCACTATTTATACTGATTCTGGTCCCCTTTCGTGAAGAATCACATTTGGCCAGATTTCTCCCATGATGGAAGCCAGCCTGGTCTTCTCCTGAGTCTCTTTTGTGCCGTTCACAGCCCAGTCAGAGACAGCAGCAAGAATGTAAGGTTTTCTGGGAAGCAGCAACTGTCTGTCCATTTTTGCTGCACAGTAGCAGGGAAAAAAATTGCACATTATTTTGTGCTTTTTTCCTGCTTTGCCAAGATTTGCCCATAGCCTGGATGGGTTAGGAAAAGCTGCTAAAAGAAATGGATATTCACTGGGCAGTGTCTGCCACGATCGGAATCAGACAGTGAGGTCTGACAAATGGCCTTTTTTGAATATGTCCAAGTGGCAAGCAAGAAGATAAGCAATAACAGCAGATTCTAATAAATCATCACAGATTAGAAACGATATCCAACTGTTGCAGCCTTTTAAGCACATGCAGTTGAGGCAAGTCTTGCAGCCCAGACACACAGAAATTTCCCCTTCGAATTAAGAGGAATTTGCCTGAACAAGGGCTGAACGACTGCAGACTTGCAGCCCAGCCCTGCGAGCCTTTTCTCATGACAGCATCCAATTAAAATTAATGAAGTAACTTGTTCAGGATCACCCAGGGAAATGAGGGGAGAGGCAGCAGGGGACATCAGATTACATGAGTCACTGCCTCCTTTCCTTGATATTAGAGTCAAAAATAATCTGAAAATGCCAAAATGCTGAAAAACAGTGCAAAACTGTGTGAAATGCTAGCCAGTAGGTAAGCTGGCTCCCAGGCATTCAGTTCAGGGTGATCAGTTTGTATATATATGGCTGTTGAGGCATAATGAGGCATGATGTTCGGCTTGCCCCTTTTGCCCCAGCTCACCCCCTGTGCTGGATGCAGCGGAGGGAGCCGCTGTCCCTTCACAAGCCACCTACGAGGATGAGGACGGCTGCTAAAGCAGGTTGCCATCTCCTGTGACGTTAGGGTAGCAGGAAGGGAACGGGGAGGATGAGAGGATCTCGCCTGCTATTCATAAAATAAACAAGTTGCCTTGCTGCAAGTGTCACCAGGGAGCAACTAAAAACAGGAAGAGTTTCAGAAATCTAATTTGCTCTTCATTGTATATGCTGTTTGATTACCTTCTACAGTTCTTTCTGCTTGCAATAAAAATAGTTACTTTCCAGTCATTTCCATTTTAGGTCTTTCTAGCACTCGCACATCCATACAACATTTGAATTGCAAATATTGCAAACATATTTATTAAAAATAGTCATTTCCTTGCAATTCTATGTATGTATGCATCTCTATCCTGCTATTGTTTTCAGTTACTATGAGCATTTATTCTAGCTGTCCTCTAGCAGGCAGCTTTTAACTGGCTCTCCTGTCTGTAAGTGAGGAAGAAGGAAGGAACAGTGCCTTTAATGTACTTTCTGGGGAAACTGTTTAATCACTGCTCTTGAAAGAACCATCTGAATCCTGTGCAAGAGCTTCAGTGCACACAGAAAATGCTCATTGACTAGACATTCAGTACCACCTTGTCCAACACCTATGCAATTCAAATGACTAAACGAAGTCAAACGGAAGGTTCTATAGTGAAGTTACATCCTCTCCTATTTTTCTGTCTGTGCCCTCCTCTCCTGACTTAACTGAGCTCCAAATTGGGAGCCAGCTCGCAGTGCTCAGTGACCATGGTGGTGTGACTGAATCACAGAGTCACAGAACGGTTAAGGTTGGGAGGCACCTCTAGGGATCATCCAGTCCAATCCCCTGCTCCAGCACGGGGCACAGGGCGGCATCCAGGCGGATTTGGAAGATCTCCAGAGAAGGAGACTCCACAGCCTCCCTGGGCAGCCTGTGCCAGGGCTCTGGCACCCTCACAGGGAAGTAGTTCCTCCTCACCTGGAGATGGAACTGCCTGTGTTTCAACTCATACCCATTGCCCCTTGTCCTGTCACTGGCCGCTACTGAGAAGCCACAGGCCAATTTTGCACAGACACACACTATGAAACGGAGGGCACGCAAAGAGCTCGAACCAGTTTGGGAGCTTTCTCTGCTCTGCGAGCCTCCTTCATCCTTTGTTACTACCCGTTTGTCTCACTGTTTGCTGTGAAGCTGCTAATGAAATACACCAGCAGAACTGAGATTAGAAGACCTCTTGATTTCTCTCCATCTCCGTATTATCCCTTTACTCCTTTGGAAAATGAGAAGCTTGTTTTTTTTTTTCTTAAATAAGCTGGTAAAATGGAGCCAAATTAAGTGCTTTATTGTTGATCTATAAAACTGTAAATAATTGCCCAGGAGACAAATGCATGTAGAATCCTGACTCTTTTTTTTTTTTTTTTTTCCTAAGGTGCCTAGCTCCATGTCTCCAGGAAATACCAATCACCATGGATCCCTTGCTCTCATCTAGTGTCTTTGAAAAAGCACTTTCTATTTCAGATCCAAAAGACTGGGCTCTTTCCACTGAAGTCCTCGAGAAGTCCAATGTTGCTTTGCACGTCTCCAGGATGTAGGGTTTGCAGGGTCTGATTTTCAGTAATTCCGAGCTCCAGCTTTTCCCACTGGCCTCCATTGAAAGGGAAGAAGATCAGAAATGCTGGCCCTAGGATACCAGGCCAGGATGGGTTGTTTGCCCTGGTGAATGTGTTATTTCCAGCCATGGCGCATTGGTTATAGGGAGTGCAAGCACCAGGCACATGCTCTGTAGGTACCATTCATCTTGCTGTCGAATGGGCTCCTGTGTCCTGGCTCTTAGGGAGCACAGCGGTTTACATCGTTTGTAGGACAGGCTGTTAATTAGTGTTGTGCTGCACTGTGAGGCAGCAGAAGACTCAATACCAAGTGAGAGTGAATGTTCTTGGAAACTGGTGACAGTGATGCAGAAAGAGGAGGGCTAGAGAGAGAAGGGAACCACACGTGCTGCCTTCAACAGAGTCAATGCATGTGGAACATACTGCATGGCAACTCATAATTAACTGGCCATATTTAAGCAATACGGCACGGCAGTGCACAGATTGTGAAGCCAAAGAAAATTCCAAGTGTCTTCCATTTCCTGACAAATGTTATTTCACCAGCAGGATGCCCCATTTTCCTACTGCCTTGCTGCAGTCACAGACTGAAATCAGTATTTAAGTGCTACTTTTAGTCTAAATAATTATAGATATTTTAATCTTGGGGTTGCTGTAGGATATTGTCCTATTAGCAGGGTTATTTCCTTCTCTCTGTTTTTTTTCCTTCTCTGTAAATGATGCCCCTATTTGTCCCTCAATATAAGTCTCCCAACTACATCTGCAATACTACCAGACTAGAACAAAGGGAGCTTCTACTATTTATTAAGAATTTTAAGGTGAATTTTTAACTTTTTTTTTTTTTTTTTGGTAGACATACATAAAACTATTTTGGAGCAACACCAAGTAAAATTCTAGAAGATAACTACTAAGATAAATTAACAGGGATATCTTTGGGCTATACAAAAGCATTACTTTCATACTCACTACTTCAGTATTCATAGTCCAGTGAGTACGACGGTTGACCTCCAGAAGTAACTCACCCCACATACTTCATCTGCAGGCAAATCTCACTCCTGATCTCATTCTTTTTGCTCCTGGGGTAGCTTAAAATAGAATCCCAATGAAAACTGAGCTGTGAATTCAAGAAAAAAACATGTCTAGTGTTAGCACTTTTTCCTCCTCAAGAATGTATGCATTGTTCATTTTAAATTCAGGATTACATCGCACCCTGAATGGTCAGTGGACAAAAAGCTGCTCTGACGTCCAATTACTTCCTCCAGAAGAAAAAGTGTTTAAAAAAATATGCTTTTCCAGAATACCAGCTTACTATTTCCACCTGAGACCGCAGTAAGAGCATAGTGCTCTATGCACAATTCACATTGCACTGACGGGCAGGCACAAACTTCAGTATGAGCTGAGGAGGAGAAAAGGGAGAGCAGGAAGGGCTTTTGAGGCCACAAGGTGGGCCTCACAAGGGCTAGGTAAACTTTGCATTTTCAATGCTCCATGTAGAAGACTGACGGGAGAGAGAAGAAAGAAGTCAGTCTAGGTTGATCACACTTCAGGCTGGAGGAATCAAGCCCCTCTCTCAGTTACAGAGGTAGAATGAGTACCTTTGCTCCCTTTCATTTGTGTAAAGTGCAGATTTTCTTAGCTTTTGGCAGAAAGGAGATGATTCCTGCTAAGAGAACCTCTGTCTTTCTCTGGCTGTTCTCAGTGGTGCCACTGACAGAGTGCGGAGGAGGATGTGACTTGAAGAAACAGCCAAGAAAGACTTTATGGTTGCCCACGTGATCAGACCCCACAAGGATGCTCTGGCAGAGTCAACTCCCTGGCCATGCTTGACCATGGAGTTTATATGGCAGTTCCATAAAGCCTGCTGACTTCTGCTTGGTAGTGTCTTCCTCTGCCATTAAGATCAATGAGAACACATTAAAATGTGTGGGCCACAATTTTGGCAATAGAAGGAGCTTGTTGTTTGGTCAAAGTTAACCCAGGCTTTTTATTCTGATGGAACGGCAGAGTTTCTTGACATCCTAGGCACTATCAAATACAATTTCTGAGTCAGAAACAGAAATGCTCATACTCTAGAGTGGTATACCAAAATAAATCACAACAACATGCTATTACCAGGATGTCTCTTGTAGAGAGCATGACACTATTTTAAATGATATTCCAGTTCATCCTTGACATCAAGGAAATATTTTCAGATCTGATGAACACAGAAAAAAAAAAAAATGGTAAAATGTACATGTGGACAATAGCACAACTCTTTGTGCATTTTGAGACACTTTCTTGTTTAATCGAGAGAGATGATTCTATTCTTGGCAACTGATCTTATATTCATGGCAATAAAACTCTGGAAATCTGTAGAGGCAATTTCTCAATTGTTTAGCTTAAAAGAAAATCCAAGAACATCCATCCAGCCAGATAGTCCAACCAAGAACATATGCCAATTTCACTGCTAATTGCCTCTTTTAAGTCAGACCAGCTGAGTTTCTGCTACCTTACATTTTTACTGGCTGAACTCAAAAGACTTTTTTTAATAACGCAGATTGTGAAAGTAATTATTCACAATTACTAAATATTTTGGCTGACCAAAAACTGAAGTGTTATCTCTCATCCTGTAATCTTTTTTTAATTGAATGTTAGCAACTTGAAAATAGATCTGAAAGCAAGAATTGAAACATCTTGTTTGAAAACACTGAATTGTAACATTTTTGTCCTCCCAATATCTTTTTTTTTTTCCCCATTTTTAAGCTACTAGCCAAATGAGTGAAGAATTGTGACTATTAAACATATGCATTTTTGGTAAATAGATCATTACTGAAATACATGAGTCTACAGTCACTGCATTCTAGAGACTATATGCCACAATTTTCTAAGATCAGTCATTGGAAAGATCTATTTGTAAAGAATGCAGTGTATATCTAACCTGGAATTGTGTCATTTGATTGGGGGATGATCCCTACCTTTCCTAATTTGTACTAATTCCCAGCAATATTGTCCACGACCACAGGACTCCCATTGGCTTATCCCAATGGGTACAGCCCCACCAGTACTGCATCCTCCTTGGGTTAGTCTGTAGGCACACAGTTAATCTCCCTCCTTAGAAGTACTCATAATACAAGCACTTAAAATGATCAGCAAAGAAGAAAGCACCATAACCTGTTTTTTAGGAGCTTAGTGCTTAGGCATAGCAGAGCGTGTGATTTTTCTCAAGTTTCGCAGGAAATCTGTAAAGGAGATTAGAAACTGAACCAGCATCTCTTGAGGCCCTCTCTGGTGTGTTACTACTACAAGGCAATCTTTGCTGGAAAGGAAAGACAAGCCACACTTGTTATTTCATTACTTGCCAAGCTCCAAACACAGCCAAGGATCCTCTCTGTCTCCAGGAGCGTGATCCTAACCCCCCGGCTACTGCTGAGAACAGGGCAAGAGTCTCCACTGAGCGGTTTCCTTCTTATTATTTGTTATGTGTATCAGTCTGTTGTCTTTGAGCCTAAGCCATAGGTCCAGATCAGACTGTGGTAGGCACAGCACAAACACGGGCCAAAGAAAACAGAGTCCTTTCTCCAAGAGCTCCTAGTCGGAGCGCTGCGGGTATCTCCGGTACCTGCAGTGATTCCGATGGCAAATGAAAACCGGAGTGTACAGCTGTGACATATGGAAGGCCTCAATATTTTTATAAATAACGACAGGCTTAGAGACATGGGGGGATTTGCGTTTTAATATGCTGATGAAAGACTCTGTGTTCATATGCTCAGAAAAGGAAAGAGCTTTGGAAGACATTTATCATAATAGAAAGTTCCTTTTTTTTTCTTTTTTTTCTTTTTTTTCTTTCCTATTAGGTGTATTATGTTCTGTGGGAGATTTCAAAAGTTAATTTGCAATTATATTTCCAGAAAGGACATATAGGGGAAAAAAAAATATGATTTTTAAAAAACATTACCTGGAAATAAGAAGGATAGCTATTTTTTTCTCGAACCTGTAGGCAAATAAAGCAGATATAGTTGTCTTTATGGATATTTATTTGCTAAATGTAATTTAGATATTTATAATAAAAGAAAGAAAAGAAAAATAAAAGGAGAAAAAATAAAGACTCTAAATGAAGGAAAGTAGATTTCGCTTACTATTCATTTATCTCACTATTCATTTATTTAACAAAAATAATCTATAATAATAATGCTCTTTAGATAATGCTCTTTGGATTCTGAATCCAAGGACCCCAAAAAGATGAAATTCTGTAGTTTTTGCTGAGAGTGTGGATTGTATATAAATAAATTTATATTAGAACTTGCTTATCTTTCTTAAGCAAACTAACTTTTACAGTCTTCGTTTTATTTGTTAGCATCTGATAACAATTAGAGTTAAGCCAAATACATACAGAGTCACATAGAGAAGAAAGCAGATACTGTTATGCTAGCTACTGTTTCCCTTCTTACATATTCATCTCTCTATTACTGGAGTGATAATTAGCTTGAGGTTTGGGACAGGATCTAATCCAGAAACCAGACCAACAACTGCCCCTTAAAGTTCAGTAATATTTGGCAGCACAGATCAAGATTGCTCACAACTTCTTTAAAAACTCTGTGGTACATTTCTTGCTATCAAAAGCCAGTAGTATCTTAAGCAAATGGACGGGAAGAAGCTTTCAGATCCCATGACTCTAGCAAAGACTGATTACCTTCCCATGGGAAGGTTCTCTATTTGATTGCACCAGAGCACTTGTGTTTCTAGAGTGGAGAAGAAAGTGGGTGAGATGGTCACTTTAGAATAGCCAGAGAATTAAAGAAGGGCAGCTGGTTGCTCCTGGACAGATGGGGCTATTGACGGGCTTATACTCTAAATATTCTGTTCAGCTTCTGCTGAAATCTCTGATTTTGTGCATTCTATATTTACTTAACTACAAAACTCTCAGCCCTCTGATATGAATGAACACTGGTCTGCCTGTATAGGAAAAGTGTTTTAAGGAGGATGCTAGAAGAGTCCAACCCCCCTGCACACGCAGGATCACGTGGCACTGGGTGGCTTCCAAGTGGGTTTTGAAAATCTCCAGAGAAGGAGAATCCACAAGCTCTTTAGGCAACCTGTTCCAGTGTTTGTCCTCTGTTCCAGTTCTCTGTCACACTCAATGTCAAGAATTTTATCTTTTGCAGACTTATTTTTATGGTCTATGATTGATCTTTGCAGATGAGTCTTCTTTTTGGGAGCTACGCAAGAACTTGTTTGTCTCTTGGTGGCTCAGAAGAAGGGGCGTTATTCCAGGACTGTGGCTAAGCTGCTCTCAGGCATTCATTCCAGTGAAAGCTGGGGCAGGCTGAGTTGGTGCTGGGATGGAAGACCTTTGGAGAGCACCAAGTTGTTTAGAATGGTGGAAAAGTATAAGAACTTTTGTTTCTTATATGAGACATCAGTCACTTTTGGTTAGTGTTCAGGATATCATACAACTAGCCTTGGTATGTCCATATCCTGGCCATACTGACAACTGGCAAAATGTTTCTTGAGCCCTAAGCTCTCATTGTGACAGTAAAGAGCCCAAGAAAAATACCAGGCTGAAGAAATTGTATTGATTGCCAGGACAGACACAACGTGCTCTGTGTTAGTTCAGGTATTTCTTTATAGTATTGCATTGAGGTATGTCAGCTTATGCCATAACAATCAAGGTTGAGATCTACTGGTCTTGTGGTGGGGGGCACTGATGAACTGAGGCTGTGCCCCATTTCAGGACCGAGGTTATTCCTGGGACCAAAGGCCTCTATTGCACATTGAAAAGTTTACCATGGAGGGCCTGGAGGGACCCCCACATGGCCTTCCATATATATATATATGTATATATATATATATATACACTTAGACAAATAATGTATGAAAACAGTGCAAAAAAAATTATGAATCATCTCCTCATACAATGAAAACTGAATTGGTAAAATCTTGAGAAGCAGCATTAAAACCTCATATGAAACGGATGCTATTACCAAATATGGGTTTTATGTGGATATTACAAAAACTGGGAACACAAAACTGATCTTTTCATCTGTTGACACTCTTGCAGGAGAAAACATAATGTAAAATTCATAGCAATGCTTGGGGTTGAAGCAATATTGTAAGTTCTTACATGCTTATGAAAAG